AAGGACTGAAAACAGTAATGAGTGTCTACGATGACGGGGTCTACATGAAGTCCGGTGCTCCATTCGACAGGTTAAAACGAGTTATGAAAACGCCGCGCCCATCGCCGCGCGTGGCGGTGCGGCGAATTACGATCCTCTTTACCGTCTCCCTCAAATCACGCAGTTATCGGTCGCCGCTAAGGAAGTGCCGACCGATTCTCGTTTGCGTCTGTGCTCGCGGAGAGAAGCGCTGTTGCAATAACAGCGCGTTAACCGCGTCGACGAGCGTCATCACGAAGTCTGAACGCTGCCTCAAGGCACAAGCTATTAGTTGTACAATAATTTAGCGCTGACGAAAACAGCATTAGCAACTCATGACTTCACGGCTCGCTTCTGTCTTTCGCTTGAAGACTTCCCTCCAGAAGCACTGCTCATCCTCGGAGACTTTCGTTGCTCGCACGACACTTTTGAAGCGGGTGAGGCTCTTTTAGTAGGTGATGATACATTTGTCGGCGTTTTCTTTCCTCAACAGTTCTGTTCTCGACGGAGATGCTGATGTAGTCTTGTCCTTCTCAGTGACCTTTCCAGTTTTCGGTGTTTCTGCTGCACAATCAGATGGATCCCTTGAATTGGATGAACCTGCACCTCTCAGTGGCGTCGACGATAACTTTTCTGCACTCCCACTGCTCCTAATCGCGCTGTTGATCAACGCGCGACGTCTAAGAGAGCTCGAGACGCTTCTACGCGCCAGCGGTGTTTTGGCATCTTTTGCTTGTCTGAGCGGAGATGGCTGTGCTTTCGAGGTTTTGGAATTCGGTGGGCTCTTCTTATTTTGTAATCCAGTGGACATTCCCGCAGAAGTACTGTTCCTCAGTGGTGAAGCTGACTGATCGCTAAGATTTTCGTCATGATCTTCAGGAGAACGAATCAGCCCCTTTCGCTCTGAGGACGCTATCGGACTGCCGGACTGCGTCCTCTCTTTCGTGTCTGCATCTTTGCCTTTGGGTGAGTTCTCCAATGACTTCATTATATTTACCCTTGGTGACCGCCTTCTATTTTCGAGAGGAATTTTCGTACTAGGAGTGTGGAGTGATTTCTGCGCACTGAATTGCTCATTCTGTACCTTTGATCGGTTTTCAGACGAAGTTGGAGGCGAGGATGAGGTTTCGTATGACTTGGACTGTGAAGAATTATCGTTTATATGGGCTTCATCCTGATCATTGACGCTCTTCTTCACTAACTGTGAATTTTCTGCAGCACTTCCACTGAGTCTGGAGGCTTTCGATTTCGGCCGAATGGCAGTGCTGGCAGCGAGTGGTGGTTCTGTAACATCGCAATCCAAGCTGCTTCCACTGCTATCATGTTTTCGTTTCCGTGATGAACCGACAACGTCGGCCGGGGTTCCTAAAAACAGATCAATTTCAGTTTCATCAAAAAAAAGTCTGGGCAATACTTGTGATGAAAATCGACTGCCTTGCGTGATTTCGAAAATGAAGCGCACTAGAAAGAAGCTCAGACCGCCCTCCAGCAACGCGAGAACGCCGCCAAGCTGTTACTCTGAGCGATATAGCAGCTCGGGGGTGAGCTCTTATCAGTAGTTCACCTTCATGATTATCCTTTATAAATGCACCAAGCAGAATTCCAACAAAATATTCAGTTTAGGGTTCTCTCACCGTCCCTTCTAGCTGTTGCATATGAAGTAAATATTTACTGATACTCACTCAACCAAAAGAAGCAATGGTGACCTTCGCCCTCGAAAGATCGCTATTGCTTCTTTCGGTTGAGCTTTGCAAGAGCTCAAATGTTCCACGAGTAGCCTATGAAATGTTTGGCTGAAAGTCACTTCACTGTTTCCTTATCAAGTCTGCACGCGACGAGAACTAATGACATGCCACCTAATCCCTTCTCCTCTTGAACTCCTGCACGGATGGGAGATGACTTTATTTTTTCGATCTTTTCAATTTATTAGGTTCATACATGACGACATTAAAGAAATGACGAAAATAAGGATAGAAGAAAGTGTACGTATCTGCATTTCTCTCACTTCCAAGGTTCTCTAAATCGATACGCATACTTTTCGCATCCGCAGTTTCGTTATTTCCTCAAAGCCGTCATGCACGAACACGGGCAGAAAGACGTTTCTGCCGGAACATACTA